TTCCTGCTGTTCCTCTAATTAAGAGTTTGTATTTATGTCCTGAGATACATTTATTTTTCTTTTTCCTTTCACAGGACCTAGATGATATAGAAGATGAAAATGAACAGTTGAAGCAAGAAAATAAAACCCTCTTAAAAGTTGTTGGACAGCTGACAAGGTAGAAGATGCAAGCCTCAATGAGGAAAGATTTAAAAACTACTGATTGAACGTTAAGGTCAATATAGTAATACTTCCTGTGTTGCAGTATGTTATAATAACTGTCTTTATATTTATTGTTAGGAAACCAGATGAATGTTTATTTTCATAGTACTTTCTTCTTCATTCAATGAAATGGCATCAAATTTGGGGTATATTTTTAGCTTTCTTTTCACGTAAGAATAATTAAAACTTTTGACATTTCAAAATATTACGTTCAAAAATATTTGGGTTTTGTATCTTCAGCTTACATCTGGATAAGTTACAGTAATTTACAATTCATAGCACCAAGATCACTTTCAGTCTATGTGGGTGTATATTTTTGAAATTAATGGAAGCAATACCAATACATATAAACTTTGTTTACACAGATCCAAAATACATATTTTGGGAAATATTTCCTTTTTTGTTTAAACAGCTGTAAAGTGGATGCCTTATTACTGATGTATAACATTTTGCAGATTGATTACTTGCTCTAAAACTCTTGTACGTTGAGGGTTTTTTTACTGTCTCTGAAAGACTGGCAATAGTAGAGAGTAGCAATTTTTTTGCTTCTGTATAGCAGTATTCTGGCAGGAGAGGGAGGTTTTATTAAAAAAACAAACAAAAAACACAAAACCAAAACCACCAAAAAACAATAAATCACCTGTGGCATCAGCATTAATGAGTTCTTAGAATCATATTGAAGTTGTGCACTGCAGTTTATTTTAAAGCTTTTGCTTTAGCAATGAAATGCAAGTTTGCTATCAGGAAGTTTGTTTGCTGTGTTGAGAATTGAAACAAAGCCTGGAGCTTTCATTTTAGCAAAGACACTTTTGCAATACTTTTCTACTTAAAGCTGTCATCTTAAAATTTGTAGTGATCATAACCAATATGAGTTTTTTGATGTTTTCATTTTTTAAGCTGGGTGAAAATTTTTGTACATAAAAAAGTAGAGGCATACAAGTGATTCATACGCATTTGAAACATCAAATGGCTTAAAACCCTTTTACCTTGATTTTAAACTAACAAGGTGTTTAAAAAGTGCCTGTTAAGATGTTACAGTCCAGTTATGACTGTATACTGATTCTTCTATAACACGATAGTAGGCAAAATTTTCATTTGACATTAACCACAGACCTCAGTTAACAGTTCTCTTCTTAGAATTCTTGTTAGGCTGAAATTTGATGTACTTTATTTCATCTTAATACAACACATTTTTTTCATTCCTGATCAGAATAAATGTATGTGTCATTTGAGTCAGGACACTAGAAATGAAAAACGTTTCAAAGAGTCCAGGATTTCTCTTGATGATTTTGAAGTTTGGTGTCAGAAAGTTGCATGCATATAGTTTTTGTTACCTTAAAATTTAAAGGCAACTTTAATATAACTATCACCTTTTCAGATTTACCAGTTGTTTTCATAATGTGTATTTGATGACTGTAAGAGTTTCTTAAATTTCAAATCCAGGTGTTACTGTTACACCTTGGATTGTTTTGGATATAGGATAGGTTATTTTGAATTTGTGTATTCTAATGAGGAGGAACTATTCACAGCTTTAAAGTATTTTTCAAGACAATTTTATTCCAGAATGCTTTGATGTTTTCCTTCACAGTGGGTAAGATCCCATGGAACACCATTTAAAACCTTTACTCAGGGGTTTAAATGGTATGGGGAGTTTGTATAGGCCCTCTGGACTACGATATACACCAGTGAATATTGCTTTTAATATTACTCAGACAGAAGTCCCTTAATTTATCAGTTTCATGAAATTAAAACTGTAAAGTAATAAAATCAGTTGAGATGTATGCCTTCTGAATAAATATGAAACTTTCTCTGGAAGAACATCTGATTTCTTTCTCTGTGTACTAGGTAGGAAATATACATACTGATTTATGGCATGGGGTGTCAAACATACTGAAGCATCATTAATGAATTAATGCAGAACACACATATTAATATGAAGTTGTAAATATTTCATAAACTGTGCTTCACATTCATTTTAAACCAAAGAACGACAACAGCAAAGAACATAAGCAAGAATTACTTGTTGTCATATTACCTCTTCTTGGTTTATATGTGTATTGACTTAAAACTTAGCTGCAGAAACCCCAAAATTAGGATTTCTTTTTTAACCTGGACATCTAGCTGACAGGAATATTTGGCAGAAATACTTCTTATACCCTAGCTTGAGGAGGTACTGGCAAGGTCAGTTTCCAAATATCTGTAACCAGTAATGCTTCAGGCAGAACATGTGAACAAGGGAACTGTTGGGAACTCATAGATAAAGTACCTCAGGACATTATTGTTGTTGTGCATTATTATACAAAAGTAAAACTCTTAATGGTTTGAGATTGAGATAAAGACACTTTAATAAGTAAAGCAAAAGCCATGCGTGCAAGTGAAGAAAAACAAGGAGTTCATTCACTACTCCCCATGGGCAGGCAGGTCTTCAGCCATCTCCAGGAAAGCAGGGCTCTATCATGCATAAAACACTGTAAATCTGAACGTCCCCCGCCTTCCTTCTTCTTCCCCCAGCTTTATATGCTGGGCATGCCGTCATATGGTATGGAATATCCCTTTGGTCAGTTGGGGTCAGCTGTCCCAGCTGTGTCCCTTCCCAGCTTCTTGTACACCCCCAGCCTGCTCGCTGGTGGGGTGAGAAGAGAAGGCCTTGTCTCTGTGTAAGCCCTGCTCAGCAATAATGAAAACATCTCTATATTAGCAACACTGCACAAATCCAAAACGTAGCCCCATACTAGCTATTATGAAGAACGATAACTCTATCCCAGCCAAAACCAGCACATAGACTCTAGGAAAAATGTATTATTATGTAGATGTTAATAATCATCTAGTCATTGCTTGCCATTATCTTTTTATTTCAGTAGGGTACCTTTATAGTCAAGCTCAAACAGAAAATAAATGTTTATCCTAGGTGATTTGAAGGTGTTAAATTAGCTACCTTACCTGCAATTCACTAATCCATGTTCATGTCCTCACCAGTCCAACACCTTGATTGTTCTCAATTGTGTGATTTAAAAGCTGAGAGACTGCTGTAAGTGGGAACCCACCTCACTTGGGAAGGCTGTATGATTCCTGAATGAATCTGGGTATTAACATAGTTAGGCTAAATTAATTTACTAGGGCTTTGGAGGGGCAGGGCGGGGGGGGGCTTAGTATTGCAATATATAACTGTATGGGTGAGTCTCTTGGAGATTTCTGAACTTTCATGTCTTAAAATTACACCAAGTGGCTTAGGTCTAGCATCTCTGTTTCTGGGTAACTTGGGGCATCTAGGAAATCTAAACAGAAAAGTACTCCCATTGACTAAAGCCAGTAAGGCGATTTTTTTTTCAAGATACTTTAATAATGAACAGCACATGATGCCTGTTTTGATAATGCAAAATGTTGCACCTGTTATGGTTACATACTGTTGTATAGAAAACTTACAATGCATCCAGAGCTGAAGGTTAAAGTTGTGCAGAAATACTTTTATCATAGATAATATACACTAATGTTTGTGGGATTTATTCCCTAAAGAGGAAGTTCAAGCATATATAAATGTCGGTGATTTTTACAAGGAAATCCAAAATGGCTCGTTTTTCTCTTTTAAAATAAATAAATAGCCATATTTAAGTCCAGTGTTACTTGATTTGTATATTAACTGAAAGAGTACAGTCTGTATTTGCAAATGAGTGTTTGTTCTGTCCTTGAAGCAAAATTTTTCTTTGTTAATTACCAGATTTGTATTTAACATTCAGAGATTGATTATGTCTGTGTTAGTTTGGCTCTGAATTTGAGAGGTAGAGTGAGAAAAGAGGGTAACAAGAAGTCAGTGAATTCCAAAGTAGGAAGTATAACCTAATTTTTTTGGCTTTTTTTATTCAGATGTATTGAGAATTAGCTGTGGAGAGATTTGTGATTGGCATAAGCACTACAAAAGACATAGGGGTTTTAGTATACTGGAAACAACTGATTAACCTACATCAAAGCTCTTTTCAACTTGTCTGGTATCACTACAGCTTGGAAACTTGCTACCATAAGAGAGACCAAAAGGAATACTGAAGATGAAATTACTTTTTAACGTTTTGCTAGGAGACCAGAGTTATACTGACTCCAACTATTTTTATGGTTTTCTGTAAGTTCTTTGTGGTTATTTCCAGCTTAAATTGAAACAGATCAGTATTAGTAGCAAAGAGGAAAGGTAATTATTGGGAAACAAATACATGAGTTATAACTATGGATACCATTAGCATATGACTGAGTGTCAGTACTTGTTGGGCTCAGACCCTTTATGAAAATGTCATTTGAGTCAGTCCATTTGCATCAGTATTAATGACCATGAACATTTAACATTTTTAATAAGAAACGGTTATTTTAGTTGGAGAAATTAACATTGCAAGCCATAACTTAAAAACTTCGTACAATAAAAAAAAGTTCATGCTGATACCTGTAGCTGCTGAGACTAAGGAGCTAAGGATTATACTTAAAAGTTTTGTTAAAAATGAAACAAATTCATTCTGGATCTTGTCATTTAATTCGATATATAAATACACTACAGATCTGTTCCAAGCCAGTCATCCTGATGTCAATGCCTGCAAAAGATGTTGACACCAGCATTTCTACTTCTGTTACTAAGCATTTCTTTAGGACTACTTAAATATATCCAGGACAAAAAGGACTTTGATACGTATTTTAGTTGCATTCATGATCTTCCCAAGTATGTTGACTTACTATAGCAAATCTCCGTCTGCCATTTCTCCTTGTACTGTTACAGATTACCTTGTTAATTTAATCCTTTTGCTTTTATTTCTGGTGTAACTGTTCTTGTTTAGGGCTAGTTGTGATTTTTCTGCTCTTGAAAAATTGTGGTAGTTGAGTTTTCCTCTGAAAATAGTCGCATAATCATAATGCGGAGTCATTTTAAAAAAATACCCATTTTATGTATTTAAAAAGTTGAAGCATCATTAAGCTATAAATAACTAAATATCCATTTTAGTTTTGAACATTGACTAGTTGTGATATTATTTGTGATATTGGATTAAAAATTATGTTGAGATTCTTACTACTGCAGGTAAAAGATACATGTTTAACCAAACGATAAAGACTGTGTGCCTTTGTCCAAATAAAACTAAATTCTTTTTAATCCAGGCTGACTACTTATTGTGTTTAAAGGAGAATTAATACTGTGTCTGACTAAAATTCTAACTGGATTTGTTAACCGATACTGGGAAGCCCCAACCTGAACTGCTAGAATTATTTTTACATTCAGGTTTAAATCTTCAACTGTGTATGTGTTTACACACACACGAGAGAGAAATCTGCATATTTCCACTATACTGATTTTCTGGTTCCGGAAGGTAGTGGGTATCCTTGATCAATTAGATGGAAATGACCTTTTCCCGTACTTCGGAGTTGAAGTATAGCCCTTCCCAGGAGAAGGTAATGAAGGATGTTACAGTGCTACTTCCACACAAAGTGAATTGACTTCACAATAGATTTAATTTCTGAAATTTCTATATGAATAGATCTTCTGTTCTCCTGCACAGACAGAATCCTTAAAGGCACGCTCTTTTTCATTCATTTCTGTAGACTACACATAAAGAGAATA